ATGCGAGTTGAGACACCCAAAGTACAGTAGTGGCCACAATTGTGGAAACCTTTTTGGGAGAAGTGTATTTTCTAAAACTAGCTAATAAAACATTTTTTTGGGGGGGGGGAATAGTACCATAAAAGTATACTGCTCAAAAAAAATAAAGGGAACAAAAGCAGAAGACATCCGAGATCTGAATGAATGGAATAGCCTTATTAAATACTTTGTTCTTTACATACAGTAGTTTATACACTGCTCAAACAACTAAAGGGAACACAAAACTATAAATTGAGTCAACTTGGTGTATCTGCTAAGACCTTGGCATAGAATTTAGATGTTTATTCTAGCCCTGCTTGTTGAAACAGAAAGGTCTTCAAGGGCACGTCGGAAAGTGCGAAGATCTGGGATTATCTGGTTCAGCACTTCTACACAGGGAACACGGTTTTTCTCTTAGTCTTTCTCAATCTTGGCCAATGGAAGAAGAGTGGACTTGCAACTCCCAGAATCCTCCAGCCAGCCTGGGAGTTGAAATCTACCCATTTTCCAATGGCCAAAATTGAGAATCAATGCTTTATTAGAGAAAGCAATGAAAAAGAGAATTTAACAAGAGAGGGATTAATCCTAGGCTGGGAAAAAAATAGGAAGGATAATTGGAAAGTTTCTTGAAATTACATCCCAAAACATCCTTCCCCCACCCCCACCCCCACATTCTCAAATGTAGAATAATCTTCTCCAAGGGGAACTGGACTCCTGAGGGTATCACATCCATGTTGTTTTCTTAACAACAGTATACAAAATATGGTTTGCCACTGTTTCCCAAGGTATTTTTTCCAACTTCCCAGTCTAGCTAACCATGTTCGGATCTCTTGGTGGTCTCCCATCCAGACATTAAAAAACCTGATCTTGCTTAGCCTTTTGGAGGATCAGCCAAGGTTAGCTAGAAAAGACATCTGGACATTGGACTCTTTCTATTCTTTGCCCCCAAACCATTGCTTGCTTATCTGCAGTTTGTTGGATAAACCACCATTGATTAAATTGTCACGACTTCCCTGAGTTACAAACTGATATTTAGGAATCCCGGATCATTGGGCTTACACCTCACACCAGTTGTCCAAAGAAGGAGCCTTCAGGCCTTGCCTTGAGTAACCTAGTTGTCCAACTATCCTGACCTGCATCCATAATGGATAAGAAGATAGGAACCGTACTTCATAGAACTGTAGAAATCTGGATTTGAAAGAATATGTCTTATGGAGAAAGGTTACATTTTGCATACCCCAATCCTGGAATCTCTCCTCCCTCATTTTTCCTTAAAAAGAGGGGGGGGGGAAACCTGAAACAAGAAAAGGAATAAACAGAGAAAAAAGGACATTTCAGCTTGGCGATGAAATGTTTGAAGGACTTTACTTCACTTGCAAAGTTTTGATTAAATCAACCATATAAGCGGTCTTCCCTCTGGACAGAAAGAGGAAGGAAGGAAGGAAGGAAGAAGGGATGGAAGGAAGGAAGGGAGAGAAAGAAGAAAAAAGAAAAGAGGAAAGGAAGGAGGAAAGGAAAGGAAGGAAGAAAAAGAAAGAAAGAAGGGATGGAAGAAAGAAAGAAGGGATGGAAGACAGAAAGGAAGGAAGAGAAAGAAGAAAGGAGGAAAGAAGAAAGAAAGAAAGAAAGAAAGAAAGAAAGAAAGAGAAAAAAAGAAAAGGAAAACAAATAAAACATTCCTAGAAGGCAGAGTAAGTTTCCCTTCCCACCTCATCCTCCCACCCCAAAAATAAGAGAAAAAATAATTTTATTTTGATCCCAGTTTTGCGAGCCCAAATATTATGGTTCAGTCTTTCTCCATTATTATTTTTTTTTCTGAGAAAAACGCTGCGAAAATACAGGCCATGGAAGAGAAGAAGAGATTTCGGCTCCAAGCGCTTGGAATATATATACAAAAAAGTAAAGTATGCCTTAAAAAGGTTTTAATTTGTAAAGTAGAGCCATCAACAACTTTACACCTTTTGTAGAAGCGATCCAGAAAAGAAAAGGGGGGGGGGGAAAGGAAAAGCGTGGACTTAAGTTTTGGGAGTTTTTCACCCCCACTGACTTCATTTTAAATACACGGCGATTAAACGGTTCTCCAGCCGGATTCACCCGGGACTAAATCTCTCAAAATCGAAATTCACTTTTCCTACTCTTGAAACGAGTTTCCCTTTCCAAACGCGCCTTTGGGCTTAGAATAAGTTTTCTTTTTCTCTCCCCCCCCCCCCCCGGAGGACAAACGGGATAAATAAAATTTAAATCATAAATCCCCGAGGCGCTGTTGTTGGAAAAAGACAACCCAGTCGCTTTCAAAAAGCAACAAGTGTGTGCGTGTGTAAAACACAAAACAAAAGACAAAAGTTTCCGAAATATCGGTTGGATAGTGAAAAAAAACAAAACAAAACCAACCTGTGTTTGTCTCCTTTTAAGTTACGAAAGTCCCCTTTTAAATTAGGAGGTGAAATCCTTTTTCCCCGGGGGGGAAAACGGAGGAAATTGGAGTGGGGCTGGGCAAGTCAAACCAAATCCCCCCGCCAGACTTCGTTCCCAATTAAAGAACCTCGCCTCCACCTTTTAAGAGCAGAAACTCTAAATCAAAAGCTAGAGAAACTCTCTCCAACTTTCCTTAAAAATTACACCGGGGTAAAAACATAAACAAGGAACGATCTGACATGCGGCCCCCACCCCCACCGGCCCTGGCAAAAATCCCCCTCGGCCAGCATCCTAAAGTGGTTTGTGGTTTGGTACTTTTAAAAAGAAAGAAAGAAAGAAAGAAAGAAAGAAAGAAAGAAAGAAAGAAAGAAAGAAAGAAAGAAAGAAAGAAAGGAAGATGGAAAGAAAGAAAGAAGTAAAGAAAAAAGGAAGGAAAGAAGGAAAGCAAGAAGGAAGGAAAGAAGGAAAGATGGAAAGAAGGAAGGAAAGAAAGATGGAAAGAAGGAAAGAAAGAAGAAAAGAAAGAAGGATGGAAAGAAGATAGAAAGAAAGGTGGAAAGAAGGAAGGTAAGAAAGAAAGAAAGATGGAAAGAAGGAAGGAAAGAAGGAAAGAAAGAGGGAAGATTTATTCCCGAAATTCAATAAACTTACTTCCAAAAAGAGAGTTTTGGGCAAGGTACCGCCTTCCCTCCGCCCTTCAACCACAGAAATAAAGAGATAAGATTGTTAAATCAAAATTATTATTTTTTAAAGAAACAGGGTTAAGAGTGCTAAGGACGGCGGATAAAAACGACTTTTCAAAACGATTCTTGGATCTTCAGTCCTTTCCTGCACGGAATTCTCCGAGTTAGCCAGAAACCCGGTTGTTAACAAAATCTCGGCGCATCCTCTGAAGGGGAGAAGGAGGAAAAATAAAGATATTGGAGAGATTTTTTTTTTTTTTTAAAGTCAGAATCACTTGAGATCCTAATTCCTGGATGGAGACAGAAGGAAACGGGACAGGCAGGGCTCGTCTCGGCGGGGGCACCGGGCCCTTTGGATCGCGCCTGCCCCAACGGCGGGGACTTTGGGTCTTGGCGCGCTCGCCGGCGCTCCCCCACCGCATCCGAGCCTGGATTTCGCGCACGGCTGAAGCGCCTCTCGCCCTCTCCTCACCTTTTCCCTGCTTACCTCCAACTCCGTGGATTTCCAAAAAACACGCGGGGGATGGGGATGGGGCGTCGGGGAACCGATCGGGAGTTGCGACCGAGCGATCCGTCGGCCCGTTAGGTGCGCAGAGAGGCGGACTTTTGGCCAAGGCAAAATCTCGTTCCTATGGGGCGAAAGTTGCCCGAGGGGGAATTACGTAGGGGTTCTTCCCAACGAAGGGGTTGTTTGTTGGTAGTCTTGACCCGAGTTGGCCTCCGGTGGGAGAAGCGATCCTCGAGGCGATTCAGCCGAAAGACGTCCCCCTACTCAAATCATTTTAGAAGTGGCGAAACTCCTCCAATTTCTTGCCTTACAAGCCTCTTTTAAGCTTTCCTCCCCCCCGCGCAAGTCTGTCTTATTCAAGAGTATATAGGGGGGGAAAAAAGGATCAAACCCACATTACAGCAGGAGCCCAAATTAAGAGATTAAACCCCGGCAGGTTTATTTCCGAACCCCCACCCCCAAAAAAACGCCCCGGGGACCATTTCTCTCCCACGCCACCCTTACTCCAGACCTCGACCGCCCGACGCCCGAGCCCCTCATCCAACCTCCCCACGAATTTGGATTTAAAAAACAAAAAAATACAAGAGGCACAACGACGTCAAAGAAAGGCCACCCTACCACCACCCCCGCCCCCCGCCTTCCACGCTTCTACAGGGCCCGTTGTAAAAATTTATTGGCTTCTTTTCAAATCCTCCCTCGGAGGGGAAAAAGCCTGGGGGGGGGGAAGGCCAGGAGAAACGCTAGCCGAACCTACACCAAGGCGAGAGCGAAATAGAAAAGCGCTGGCTGGGCGCGATTTATTTCGCTCGCCCACCAAACCTAGCGCGGGGGGGGGGAACAAGAGGACCGGGGGTGGGGTGGGGAGAATACAGGGGGGGAAAAAATCACACGCGTTAGTGGGAAATCAGAATGCAGCTTAGCTCTTACCAGGAAAATATTTTTCTTCTTGTCGGGGGAAATACAATATCCTCTCCATCACTCCCTCCCCAGCAAAAAAAACCCCAAAAACCTAAACTTGTGCGTATTCCATATCTGAAATACATCGATTTTCTCACCAAATTCTTGCAAATCCGGATTTTCGCCCTGCAGACCTCCGATGATCGCGCCACCCAGAGGCGGCCGGTCCGAGCTTCCAACCTTCCTCCCGGGGTCGCCTTTACTCCGAAGTAAGCCAAGCTGGACCAAAGGCAGCAACCCTTCCAGCAGCGGAGACACCCCCTTGCCTCCCGCTCCCCCCCCACCCCCACACACAGACCCCTCGCTCGAAATAGCGAGCTTTCCGCTTTATCTTTAAAACCAACCGAAACCCGTGCTTGGCCCGGGTTAGGAAAACGAGAGAAGCCGTGCAGATTACTTTTTTTTTTATTATAGATATTTTTTTTTAAAAAAAAATTAAGAATCCAGACGGGATTATTTGGAAGAGATTGGGGGGAGGGAGGGGGGGAGACACGGGGAGGGAAACCAACGACTCCACCCGAGAAAATTAAAAACAAAACATGTAAACATTTCACGAGGAAGGTTAACCGACCTCCCCTCTTTTATAGAAGTCTCGCTTGGGGTTTTTTTTTTCCCCTCTCCTTTTTTCAAGATAATTGGAAACCAGGGTCCCATAAAGAAGAAAAAGTCTTCGCTGCGTAATTGCGCTCTCTCCTTCAAACCATCCTTTCCTCCTTCTTCCCACCCCGACAAAAAAACCTCCCGTGGAGTGCTGGAAAAAAAGAAGGGGACGAGGAAAGGGGGAGGGGGGGTTGGCGGGAAGGGAGCAGAGAAATTTCACAGCGCCTTTTGTAAAAAGTTTTTTTTACAGTCAATAGGAAATTGTGCTCTCTAAGGACAGCCAGACAAGAAATTCACGTGTTTTTGTTTTTTTTTACGCGTTCGTTAAAAACAACCGAGAAGGGGAAAAAGTTCCTTTGCCCGACGTGGCTCTCCGCAGGCGTGGGGAGGGAGTGGGGAAGCAAAGGGGCTCGGGACGGCGGGGGTCGTCGCCTCGTAAGGTGGCAACAACTGGAGGCGGAGAAAGCGGCTTCCATGGCAGGAGGGAAGCAGGATCTGGCACGGCCGCCTCCGGAGCTTCGACGGGGCGCCCCAAAGAGAGGCGGCTGGCGTTTTTCCGGGGAGTGGGAGGCTGTGGGGGGGGGTCTTTTAGATATGAGTCAGTGGGACGGTGCCGTTGACGGCCGCCCCGGCGGCGTTGTGATAGTGCTGGTGGACTCCGTGGAGGCGTCCGCTCTGCAGGCTCGACGGGTCGGCCGCGTCTCCGCCGGGCGGCAGGTACATGCTGATCATATCGCGGAGGTCTCCGAGGCAGGCCCGCTGCGAGTGCGAGGCGATGGCCGGCGGCGGCGAGCTGGGCTCGGCTTTGACTACCGAAGTCATAGTCCCCAGGCTCATGGCGTGGCTCGACGGCTGCTGGCCGTAAGCGGCGGCGGCCGCGGCCATGCTGTAAGTCGAAGCGGCGGCCGTCATGTAAGGCTGAGCGCCGGACATGATGGGGCTGTACTGGAGGCCGCTCACGTCGTAACGGTGGAGCGACTGGAGCTGAGCGTTGCCCATAGCCGGGTGTTGCCCGTAGCCCAACTGGTCGGGCATCAACGAAGCGGCCGCGTAGGCGCCGTTGGGCCAGCCGTTGACGTGGGCGTACGAGTCCAGGCGCTGCCCGACGCCCACCGGGCTACTCACCCCGCCGCCGCCTCCTGCCCCGCCGCCTCCGCCGCCCCCGGGACCCCCGCTCGGGGCCAACAAGTTGCCCGGCAGCGCGTACTTGTCCTTCTTGAGCAGCGTCTTGGTTTTACGACGGGGTCGGTACTTGTAATCCGGATATTCCTTCATGTGGACGGCGCGCAAGCGTTTGGCCTCGTCGATGAAGGGTCTTTTCTCGGCGTCGCTCAGCAGTTTCCAGTCGGCGCCCAGGCGCTTGGAGATCTCCGAGTTGTGCATTTTGGGGTTCTCTTGGGCCATCTTGCGACGCTGGCCCCGGGACCACACCATGAAGGCGTTCATGGGACGTTTGACCCGGTCTTGGTCTGGGACAGCCGCGTTGGTCCCGCCGCCTCCTCCTCCTCCTCCTCCTCCTGGTCCTCCTTTGCCGGCGCTCCCGGGACCCCCGTTGCCAGCGGCGCCTCCGCCGGGGTTGCCCTGGGGCGGCTTGAGTTCGTTCTCCAGCAGGCTGTACATCGCCGGGGCGGGCAGGAGATGCGCCAGCGTGGCGGCCGGGGGAAGAAAGCCGAGTCCACGAAAAAAAAAAAAAGTCCGGAGGGGAAAAAATCTGGCGGCGATCCGCTTCCCGGCTCTGCTTCTCGGCAACCAAAGATGCGGGCGGGCAGGCCGTCCGACTGCGGCGACTCTCGCTGCCTCTTCCGACGATGCCCAAACTCAGTCCAGCCAGATAGCCAGCCGCCCCCTCCCCCACAGCCCAGCAAAGGCCTTCTCGCCGTGACCGTTTGATTGACGGCCTATAAATGAGGAGGTGGCGACCAATCAAAGCGCAGCGGCCTCCCCCCCTCCCTCGAGGCAGGACGAGGCTCCCCCCCCCACCCCCAGACCAAACCTACAAAGTTTGAGGAAAGCCGCCTGCTGCCTACGACGCGCTCTCCCCCGTTCCCCTTCCCCAAAACGCAGCGGCAGAGAGGGGGCAGCAGAGGGCCCCGGGTGGGGTTGGTAGAGTTGGGGTAGGGGGGGTGGGGGTGGGAGAAATGTCTGCAGAAACAGCGTGTCCGTGGACCGAGACTTACCTACCCTCTACCCCGAGTTCTAGAAGTTGCCTCGGGCGCTCGGCCTTCACCGAAAAGCGGCCCAAGTTCGAATAATAATAATAATAATAATAATTAAAAAATAACACTCATTTGTGTGAATGACTTTTTTCTGGAGGGGGGGAGCAGAGGGGCGGGGCAGGAACTGTCCTACTTCCTACAAACGTTTTCCAAGTTTGATTGCCTCATTTTTTTTCCCCCCTCTGAATTTCGGTTCCGACCATTTTTCTGGGGAAGCTGGGAGTGCGGGAAAAAAAAAAAATAAATTTTTCGTCTGCACACCTGAAATATTCTCAGGAACGGCCTTGTGCCTTCTCTCCCGGTTTTAAAAGTGATACCAACTCCCCTCCCCCGCCAGAGACACCCCTAAAGGAGAAGCTGGAAGCCAAATGCGGCTTTCCAGTCCCTTTTTCCAGCTTCCAGATTTTTTCTGGGGTGGGGGGGGAAGGAATAAGAAAGAAAAGGACCCCTTTATTCGAACCGAGAACTTTCACCGGAGTATTTACAATTTTCGCTAGAGTTTCCCACATCTGCGAAAACAACGGCCCTTCAATGGACGAAGAAGTCGGGCAAATTCGTTCAAGGGCGAGAAATGCAACTTTGGCTGACGGGGTGGGATGGGGTGGGGGCAGGGCTCTGGAAAGGGGTGCAGGGTGGTGGGTGTGGGGGGGGGACAGTCACGAAATGGGAGAGAAGAAAGCGCTCACGCGCAAGTTGGTTTGCAAACTCGCCTTCTCCTTTTCTTTCCAGCCCAGCAAAGAGTTAAGGCGGATTTTTTGGGGGGGTGGGGTGGCAGAATGAGGTGTGTAAAGGGAGGGGGCCGTTAAGAAGGTTGCGGGAGAGCTCTGCGTGTTGTAAGGAAGGGGACAGGAACAGCGACCCCAAAAGCCTCGGCTTGGCTTCCCCCAACCTCCTTAAAGAAAAAAAAAGAAAAAAGAAAAATATTCTCCGATCTGCCAGGTTGCCCAAAAAGCGCGTGGGAAAAAGGCCGCTCGCCCCCTCCACTCTCTCTCCCCCCCCTCCCGAGGAATAAGCCAAGCCTCAATGAAGCCAAGGCCGCTTTTTCTCTCCCAACTCTGGAAGGCAACAGAGGGGCTATTGAGGAGAGGGGGGGCTTCAGCCAAGCACGCCGGAGTTCAGGGCTCCCCCACGTCGCCCTCACGCTGCCTTCCTTCTGAATGTCCCTTCTTCCATCGCCTTCCCCCCCACCCACTCACCCCAATTTGGCTGCCTGCGGATAAAGATGGGGGGGGTGGGGAAGAGGAGGAGGAGGAGGAGGCGTTGGTGGGTTGTTTTTTTTATTATTATTTAAGGGAGGGGGGGAAAATCCGTTTGCATGGCAACCAACCCAGCGGTTCTCAGCTCAAGAGAAAGAAAACTTTTGTGGGAGTTGTCAATCACGGGGGCCTCCCCACTTCTTCTCCATCTCTCCCCTCACCCCACACACACACACCTGCGAAGCTCGCTGAATTTCTGGCCGAGCGCGCCAGGCTTAAAGGCGCAGGGTCCCTTCCCGGGCCCTCCGGGGAAGGGGAGGGGGCGGCGGCGGGGGTAGCGTATGGTGCAAAGCTTTTCAATTGTGCGCCTTCCAAACCGCCCTCCCATCTCTCTCTCTCCCCCTCCCCCCGCTGGGGGGGGGGGGGGGAAGACGGGGGGGGTGTCGATTGGTGGCCCGGTTCCTTTTACTTGAGAGAAAGTCCGTCCCGCATCTCAGGGATCGAATTCACACGTTTCCACCCAGTGCAAATTCCCGGGTCCTGTGAATTTTGGCCGGAGTGATTTCTTCCAACCAAGCCAGGATTAAAAAAAATAAATAAATAAAAAATCCCGAAGCCGCCTTTGGAATGGACACGGAGCCGTTCTCACGACCTTTTCCACCCCGTAAACTAAGGAAAAGGGAGCGTGGAAGGAAAGGAAGAGTTGAGCCTAGCAAAAATGGGATTTATCCGTTCACTTTTACGCCGGTGTTTATAATTTCGCTGGAAAGCTTGATTTAGCGGGAATTGTAAGCTGTGAATTGCACCCGGGTTTTATTTATTTATATATATTAAAAAAATCGGGGCCAGTGAGAAGAGTTATCTCGGAGAGGAACGGGAGAGGAAAGGAACAGCAGAGAAACCAGTAGTAGGAGCGCACGGGCCGATGCTTCGGGGTTAAGAAACACGTGGGGATGTGATCCCTGGCCCAAAGACGCGTGTCTCTCCTTTCCAGAGGAGTTGGTTACAGGTAGCACCTATCACCCGCACCCTTCCCACTTGAGGGGTTGGGACCTGGGAGTTTCTCGCGGGAAAGATCCGGGATACCTAAAAATAGTGGGGGGAAAAGGAGTTGTATGAGTGTAATAGGAAGCAGATCAAATCCTTCCCTGCTCGATGTCTATGGAGATTCCAGGTCATGGCTGTCCCCAAAGGTTCTTTTTTTTTTTTTAATTTGATTTATATGCCGCCCTTCTCCGGAGACTCAGGGCAGTTTACAATGTGCTCAGCAATAGCCTTCATCCTTTTTTATATTTATACAAAGTCAGTTTATTGCCCCCACAATCTGGGTCCTCAATTTACCTACCTTAGAAAGGATGGAAGGCTGAGTAAACCTTGAGCCTTGGCGAGATTCGAACCTGCAGTAATTGCAGACAGCTGGTCTTAATAACCAGCTTAATAACAGGGTGCCTTAGACCACTGTACTACCAAGGCTCTTTTTTTCAAGAGGCAACTGGAACTTTCTAGTTATATGTTGAAGAAGTTTGGCTTCTCATGGAAGAATGCAAACGACCAGCTGTCTGCAAGGAATATAAATCCTTCCGGACGGTCCCCACCATCCAGGCAGAGCTGAAGAAGCTTCTTGGATGAGAAGTGAAAGTTCTTCAAAAGAAAAACCAGAAAATCCAGTTGCCTCTTGAAAAAGCACCTTAGGCCACTTTCCTACTGGTGGACTAAGAAAATTAACTCCTCGTTTTATAGCCTGTCCTTCTGCTTAAGGTTTGTTTGTTTTTTTTGGAAGTAAGTGCTCTCAAACTTCCTGGAGCTGAGTTTGCACACATTCAGAATAATAGAGTTGGAAGGGAACTTGGAGGTCTTATAGTCCTCCAAGGTGTAATGGGTGTATGTTAGTTTTTAATTTGCGGGCCAAATTTTTTATATATTCAATTTTAAATTGTTTTTTAAGTTTTGTAAATCTATATGTGTTTTAATATGGCTGTACACCGCCCTGAGTCCTTCCGGAGAAGGGCGGTGTAGAAGTCCAATAAAAGTAAAGTAAAGTAGAAGTAGTCCAACCCCCTACTCAAGCAAGAGACCCTATACCCAGTGGTGAAATCTAAAATTTGTTACTACTGGTTCTGTGAGCGTGGCTTGGTGGGGAGGGGGTAATGTGACTGGGTGGGTGTGGCCAATTTTTTTTGTTTACTTTTAAAACCATTTTTTCTACAACCTCTTCGGCGAAGAGGTTGTAAAAAAAATGCTTTCAAATGCCTCTGATGATCCCAGCTGAGTTGCCTGATCGGCAGAGGCTTTTTTTCTTTTAAATGCCTCTGACGATCCAAGCTGAGTTGCCTGATCGGCAGAGGCTTTTTTTTTCTTTAAATGCCTCTGACGATCCAAGCTGAGTTGCCTGATCGGCAGAGGCTTTTTTTTTCTTTTAAATGCCTCTGACGATCCAAGCTGAGTTGCCTGATCGGCAGAGGCTTTTTTTTCTTTTAAATGCCTCTGACGATCCAAGCTGAGTTGCCTCATTGGCAGAGGCTTTTTTTTTTTTAAATGCCTCTGACGATCCAAGCTGAGTTGCCTGATCATCAGAGGCTTTTTTTTCTTTTAAATGCCTCTGACGATCCCAGCTGAGTTGCCTGATCGGCAGAGGCTTTTTTTCTTTTAAATGCCTCTGACGATCCAAGCTGAGTTGCCTGATCGGCAGAGGCTTTTTTTTCTTTTAAATGCCTCTGACGATCCAAGCTGAGTTGCCTGATCGGCACAGGCTTTTTTTCTTTTAAATGCCTCTGACGATCCAAGCTGAGTTGCCTCATTGGCAGAGGCTTTTTTTCTTTTAAATGCCTCTGACGATCCAAGCTGAGTTGCCTGATCATCAGAGGCTTTTTTTTCTTTTAAATGCCTCTGACGATCCAAGCTGAGTTGCCTGATCGGCAGAGGCTTTTTTTCTTTTAAATGCCTCTGACGATCCAAGCTGAGTTGCCTGATCGGCAGAGGCTTTTTTTCTTTTAAATGCCTCTGACGATCCAAGCTGAGTTGCCTGATCGGCAGAGGCTTTTTTTCTTTTAAATGCCTCTGACGATCCAAGCTGAGTTGCCTGATCGGCAGAGGCTTTTTTTCTTTTAAATGCCTCTGACGATCCAAGCTGAGTTGCCTGATCGGCAGAGGCTTTTTTTTTCTTTTAAATGCCTCTGACGATCCAAGCTGAGTTGCCTGATCGGCAGAGGCTTTTTTTTCTTTTAAATGCCTCTGACGATCCAAGCTGAGTTGCCTCATTGGCAGAGGCTTTTTTTCTTTTAAATGCCTCTGACGATCCAAGCTGAGTTGCCTGATCATCAGAGGCTTTTTTTTCTTTTAAATGCCTCTGACGATCCCAGCTGAGTTGCCTGATCGGCAGAGGCTTTTTTTCTTTTAAATGCCTC